TACCCTGTGCCACCTCTCCACTCAGCCTGTTTCCAAAGCACCTAGCTGTCTTCCCCCCATGTGACTTCTCAGATATGTTTAGATCATAATAGTTTCGCTTACATTTTGATATAAATAAAATATGCACATGTGTATTTTCTCTTACCATCATCATGGAGCCCACTAAGGTTATTACCATTTGCACAAGGAAAATAAAAACATGGTTTAAAACATTTTTATTTCCCTGAATTGGTTCTGAGCAAAAATAAATAAATAAATAATAAAAGTGATAAGTTTTCCTTACTGCAACTAATTTCTATTTCACTTAACTAATAATTTGTTTATTGACAGATAATAAATCTAGGGCCAAGATCTAAACTAGAAGTTTTTACAGTTATTTTATTTGAGGAACTAAACCAAAGCATCCGCACCATTAGCACCACGTGGATCTGTTATTAGTTTCTGTCTCAGAAGAAAGCGACACCGCAGAGTACTGTGAGTACATGCCTCCCTCCCCACGAGCTCAGCACAACCTTCTCATCCTGCAGCAACGCATTGGAACTTGGCCTCCAGTGGGTCACGCCACATTGCCTCTGCTCCTAAGAAACTGAAAATATGACGATCAGCCGAAGAAGAGGGTTTGGAAACTGAAACATAGAAGCTCTTTTATCAAGCAGAGAAGGGAAGAAAAGGTTACTTTGCCACGAGGTCAGGCTCTAGCGTATTGCTGTCCAGTCAGATTTAACTAACACCTTTACATGCAGACCCTATGCTAGGCACTAGGTTGGGAAACTTTACCTCATAGTAGTAAAATGTCAAGCTGCCATTCTCACAATTCCTTCTATAGAGGCCATTATTTAATTTTATTAAGTGACCACCTATAATCACATTGGAAATAAACGCCAGTGCCTACAATCTCTAAATTTCTTCACTTCAATTTCTACAACTATGACAGTGTTGTTATATTTCCACACACCTTCTTTCAGAACAAAAGGTGAACAGCAATTCTCCTTAGTGTTTTAAGAAGAGCCCTGAGCTGGGAGCCTGAAGATCTTGGTCCTAGAGCCAGCTGAGGTTTGGCGGAGGACTCTGTGAAAGTCACTTCCACATTCTTGGTCTCATTTTCAACACCTGTGACATTAAAAAATTAGACTGGGTGTTCACCAGGGACCTAAGAGTCTAAATATCCTTCAGAAAAGAATGTACTTTGGAAACAACCAACCAGGTATATGTTTTTTTGTTTTTTGAAGTGTTAATGATTGATAGGTTGAGACACTGAAATCAGTAAAACACGAATCAAATATTTACACATACCTCCCATGCAGTGTATTTTCCATTATGGGAAAGTATTGGGCAATGGAAAATTTCTCAAATACTTTTACTGGAAGAGACTAATTAGGCTCGGGTTTTTTGTTACTATTACATAAAGTTCGTACTAGAGCAATAATGATATGGGAAGCCCTCTGTTTATTCAGACTAAAATATCACATTGAGAATTATTTAGCAAGTTGCTCTCAGACTAAGAGGCTTATGATTTGCCTAAGAATAGAGTGCTTTAGTTATATAAGACAGCGATTTTTACCTTTAAAAAAAATCTCTTATTGTTAATGATTGCAATTCAAAGTATCAACAATGTTCTGGTGAATTATAGGCACCATTCGCTAACTTGCCCTAAAATGGAGGTCCGATATCAGGGTTTACATTTTTAACGCAGCCACTGCCTAACGAGACCATATAATGTCAAATCACTTCAATTCTCTCAAAAGACGGAAAAAAATACCATTCAACCAAGTACCCCAATTCCATCTGTGGACAGGTAGAGACCATATTAATTGTTCCCCATGAGTTAACGAAAGCTTTGAAAAACACCCAAGCTGCCCAAAAGTTTAGTTTGTTACAAATTGATGATCTTGCTCCTCCAAATTGGAAATTTGATATTTAAGTTTTCAACCTGTTCAGGATGAATTCCTTATGTATATTATGCATTTTTGAGGTAGATCTTCCCTTTATTTGTCCTAAATTAACTTTTTTGAAGTTTTAATGATTACCTAATAATGCTAAGATTGAAGGATTTGATGACCGAGTCCACACTCTCCCCATCCACACCCATTATTGTGCAACTTTTATTCTATCTCCTTCTGGGCCTTTTCCACACCAGACTCCAGTCCTTTAAATCTGCTTCTACCTGGAAGTTTTCCATTCTCTAATTTTCATTACCTTCTACCACTGACCTTTATTTATTTTTAGCTCTATTGTCTTCCTTGAGTACGTTGCCTAAAACACACCATGGTTTTTTGAGTAAAAGAAAACTATGTTTTCTTTTATCATGATAATAACTTTCCTAATAATATCCAATATTTCACTTGTATTAAAATAACACATTGAGTGATTAAATGAAAATCTACCCTTGAATTTGAATTGACGTCTTAGAATCCTTTACCTTGAAATCATACCTTCTATCTTTCTATTATTCGTTACTGGATGCTGACCATCACCTTTGCCTATACTGAATATTATTTGCCACTTTCTTGTCCATTTCTATTATTAGAAGAAATTTCCTTAGTTCCTTCCCTTCCACTATTACTTAAGTGGAAACTCTGTTTCCCAGAACATGCCAGCCCAAGGGGAAAAAATAATCACAGTGGTAATCAGGCATCAAGATTTTTCTGGTTCTGTCCTAGCATGCTCTGTGGAAAACTGAGCCAGCCACCCAAAAAATTAAGAATGTGTGCTTCTGAAAATTCTATTTGCTGTACTATTCCACTCTAGCTTCCTGATGTGATGTCTCCTGTTGCCCTTGACATCTAGTGCAGTAGCCAGAATGTTTACTGAAGAGATCTCTATTGTTCCACACAAAACCATGCACACTGCTGCAGCCACTGAAGTCTACACCTGGGAATGAGGGGGCCAAGTGTGCCCTGAGAGAGCTTTAACTTCCATAGCAACCAGCACCACTGCCATGGCCATCATGAACTATAGATAGCTCTGCTCTTTCGATTTCCACTTTTTCTCCATTCATACTCCCTTATCCTGAGATTTAAACCTGAATTCAAGGAGCCTAAACTTTCATTTTAACCTTTATGACAACCCCCTCAATAGGCGGTGTCACTAGTTTTACACATGAAAAAAACAAAGGCATCAAGAAATTAATTACCCCACATCACATACTTGACAAGAGATAGAACCTGGAATTAGGGGCGCCTGGGTGGCTCAGTCGTTAATGGTCTGTCTTCAGCTCAGGTCATGATCCAGGGTCCTGGGATTGAGCCCCATATAGGGCTACCTGTTCAGCAGGAAGCCTGCTTCTCCCTCTCCCACTCCCCCTGTTTGTGTGGCCTTTCTCATCGTGTTTCCCTCTGTCAAATAAATAAATAAAATCTTGAAAAAAAAAAAAAAAAAAAGAACCTAGAATTAAATCTGATCTCCAGACCCAGAACCCTGAAGTATAATTTGCAGACTTCTCTACTTTCTAGTTAGCTGTATTCCAAACATGTTCTTTCCTAAATATCATATTATACTGCTTCAATGTCAGGGGATCCTGGTGGCTTCACATCACTTCTTCATAAGACATGCCCTGACGTGATCAAATCCTGAAGCAAACACATTCTAGCTCCAACTCCAATTCTTACGTGTAAAAATCAAGGGAGTTTGAGCTGTGGAGATAGAGAGCTTAAGCATGCACACATATTCTGCACATACGGCATAGATTCCTCAGCGTCCGTTTTTCTCCTCTGTGCAATTGGCTACTATTTCCCAGGACTGAAAAGGGCCTGGCACTGGTAGGCTTCTCCCTTCCTTCTCTTCTGCAAGCTTCGAAGTCTTTTTCTCTCAGCCAGATTTTTTTCTAGAACTCATAAATAAGCCCCTTCCAATTCTCCCAGACAGAACATGAACGCTTCTTACCTTGTAAACTTACTGTCATTTGCAGATTTCTCTCAAATTCCATGTCACATTGCTCTAAAATATCGACAGATCTGTCTTGCCCAGTAGGCTTTGAGATACTTGAGAACAAGGATTGTTAATAGAGCGTGTATCCCGCATGTCAGGAAATAATAAGGACTCCTGAGAAACCCCATGACTAATCCCCACTGTTTACAGATATGTATCCCCAGATTTTGTTTTGTTTTCTAAGCCTCAGTCCCTAAGCAATTGATTTCACACTTCTCACCTATGTGTCTCTGACATCAGGACAATGTGTCCAAAAGGCCTAACTCTACACAACATACTTGCCATGAGTTGGAATTTTGACATCTTGATTATCTGTTTGTTTCAGTTTTGCTGCAATCTACTCCAAAATCCAGTGTGTCCACGATCATGAAAGATGAGATCATCTGGAATGAAATACAGATAAATATATGGTTGACCCTTGAACGCACAGGTTTGAACTGTGTGGGCCCACTTATACGCAACTATTTTATAGTACTGAAAATATGACTTGTGACTTTCTCAATAACATTTTATTTTCTCTAGCTTATTTTATTGTAAGAATACAGTATATCATACATAGACCATACAAAATATATGTTAACTTACTGGTTAAGCTATCGTAAGGCTTCTGGTCCACAGCAGCATATTAGTAAAGTTTCAGAGAAGTCCAAAGTGATATACAGATTTTCAGCTGCATGGAGGCTGGTGTCCCTAACCCTCACCTCATTCAAGAGTCACCTGTGTTTCTTTTTATTTTAGTAAATACGAATTTATTTTCAAGTGTGTCTTAGAACAAAACATGAACCTCTGACCAGTCTGTTGATTTCATGGATTTTTTTTTTACAAATAAGAATTATAAAGGGAGTACTTGAATACCTAGATGTTTGGAAGACATTGCTATATTGGTTCCTTTTTCTTTTCTTTTCTTTTTTGTTTTGTTTTTTTGTTTGTTTGTTTCTTTACCCAAAGTTATTAATTTAGTAAACCACAGCATAGGACCTGTCACCCAAATCTTCTGACTTAAGTCCATTAATTGTTCTTTTAAACCACAGGATGTTACTACCACAAATACCCTAAACCTGGCATCAATCCAGAAAAATATGAAATGTTCCATGGATCTGAGAGTCATCTTTATGCAGAAGCCATATTAATCTTCTTTGTATCACTCCAATTTTAGTGTATGTACTGTCAACGCAAGCAGTCCTTTTTCTTTTCGTGGGACAGATAGCATAGGAACAGAAGCACAGACTCTTAAACCAGACACTTAGGTCGAAATCATGGCTTCCCCACTACAAGCTGTGTGATATTGGCAAATTTCTTGACCTCCATGTCCCTCTGTTTGCCCATCTTCCAGATGGAGATAATAATTGCACCTACCTCACAAAGTTGTGAGGATTAAATGACTTAATACAAGTTAAGCATTTAGAACAGTGCCTGACACATATTAAGAACTATATAAGTGTACACTGATATGATTGTTACTATTATTCAAGAGAATGCTTTATATCATTTATGATGGAGTACAATTGATGCTCCGTGAAAGCGTGTCATGGGGATCTTGTCCTCTCACCTTATTCCCTCCCTCACCCTTAAACAGTGTTACATACATCTAGAAATACTCATACTCCTATTTGGGAAGCAAGTTGTAATAGTCATAATAGTTGTAAATATTTATGATGCTCATGGCGCCTGGGTGGCTCAGTCGGTTAAGTGTCTGCCTTTGGTCATAATTCTAGGTTCCTGGAATGGAGTCCTGCATCAGGCTCCCTGCTCAGCAGAGTCTGTTTCTCCCTCTCTCTCTCTGACCTTCCTCCTTGCTGGTGCTCCTTCTCTCTCTCTCTCTCTCTCTCTCTATCTCAAATTTGAAAAAAACAAAAACAAAAACAAATTTAAAAAATTTATAACGCTCAACAGCTCCTCTTTCCTACAATATAAAAGTAATAATTTATTGTTTTCTCTTAAGGCTTTACAGTCTTGCAAGGACTTATACATTCCATGTAACTGCTGACTCGCTATAAGAACTCTGGCATATTTATGAGGCATAATGTTATTTGGGAAAGCAGGTTGCTGGGAAAAAACAGGTTATGCTTGTCTGTACTCAGCCAAGCTGGGCTTTGATGTAAAGCCTTTAACTATGTCAATAGTACAATGTGGGTAATGACATATGATTGAAAATCCAACCTTTATATAATGTTTTGTAGTTTAACAAATTGTTTTGAATATACTGTTTTCATTAATAGTCAAAAAAATCTGAGTATCCATTTTGCAGATAGGAAAAACTCATTTCAGAAAAATTAAATAACACGCACAAATACAAGGCCAAAAATGGATAATACCAAATTTCCAACCAGAATGTGGTTTAGTATTTATCTCTTAGAGATAAACATTAAAATATTAGTAGTATTAGACCACGGCTTCACGGAGTACTAGTTGGAGTACTAGTACTAGTACTTCATGGAGTACTAGCCCTAGTTGTTTGCTTTTTCCATACCAAGCTAATACCTATTTTGAACAAAATATAATAAACTCATCCATTCTTTCAATAAATAGGCACCTAAAGCACGTACAAGACATATTCTAAGCACTAGAGATGTAGAGGTGAACAAAATAAGCAAATTATCGGGGCACCTGGGTGGCTCAGTGGGTTAAAGCCTCTGCCTTTGGCTCGGGTCGTGATCTTAGGGTCCTGGGATCGGGCCCCACATCGGGCTCTCTGCTCAGAGGGGAGCCTGCTTCCTCCCTCTCTCTCTCTGACTGTCTCTCTGCCTACTTGTGATCTCTGTCTGTCAAATAAATAAGAAAATCTTAAAAAAAAAAAATAAGCAAATTACCTAGTTTTACTTCACCTAAATTCCAATGGCAAGAAAAAAAAAGTATGTGTGTGTGTGTGTGTGTGTGTTCAATGCTAGTGGAGAAAAATACAGCAGGATAAGAGGGGAGGAAGAGTGACTAGAAGGGGATAGCCATCTGATACAGGACAATAAACAAAATGGCCAATGCTGTACCAGACCCTATTCTTGCCAGTTCACAAAAGCAAACAGATTGCCAGGAATTCTGTAAGCCCATTGAAAAACAGTCATCACTAAAAATTAAATTCTATCAACTTAAAATTAAATAAGCTTTATAAAAACAAAGGTAATAAGTGTTTAAAATGAATCACTTCCTAACTATTTTCCTACAGTTTACTCTTTTCTACATTTTTGAGGTTATTCAAGTCTATCACATCTGTACAGTGGAAATGCTATGTAAGGGAGTGCTACTATGGCTTGTCTGTTCCCCACTCCGCTTTAAATAACAGAACTGTGGGAGCCTGAAACTGGCCATGGTGGAAACATTTACAGCACGAAATTTGATGAATGCACCAAATCAGGGCTTGGTTTATTATTTGTCGATGGTCCCCCTAAACTTCAGACAGTGATGAATAAAATGTCAACAATGCCGATGAAACTTAAAGTCACGTTCTGATGTGAATACAAGCATACATTTTTCCTCAGAGCCAGTTGTTAGACATATACCAGCACACTACAGAATAAGCTTCTTGAATAAAGTGACATTTGATTAATAAAGCGTTAAAGAGACTTGAAGATGAGGGTGAGCCTTGCAGATAGCCTGCAGAAGAGTGTCATAGGCAGAAGCAGCAACAAGTGCAGGCCAGCAGGGCTATAACTGGGGGAGTTAGGGGAAAACGCTTGATGTCCAAGGGGTAAGTAAAACTAGCCCTTTGATCACCTTGTAGATCCTTTTAAGGACTGCCTTTTCATCTGGAAGAGATGGAAAACCCCTGGAAGTTTTTGAGCAGTGAAGTAACCTGATCTGACTTACATTTTAATAGGACGCTCTAGCTGCTGTGGAGAAAACCAGAGGGAAGCACAGAAGCAAAAAGATTGTCAGAAGGCAAGGTGATGGCGGCTTTTACTTTGGTAGCAAAGGAGGCGTTAAAAATGGTCAACGTTTAGATGATGTTTTGTTGGAAAGGCCAACAGGCCTTGCTGAAAGATGGGAAACTGGAGATGAAAGAAAGGAAAGTCAAGGGTGACTCCAAGGTTTTAGGCCTAGGCAACTGGAAGTATGGAGTTGGTGCTTCCTGAGATGGAGAAGGCCAAGATGGTTTATCAACACCACCGGAAGGGGTGGGAAGAAATTGGAGTTCAGCTTGGCTTTGGACAAATTAAATATGAGATGCCTAGTAGACGTCCAAGTGAAGAAATTGAATAGACAGTTGGATATTTGTGTGAGGGGCTCAGGGGAAAAGTTTAAGCTAAATGTATATAATGCTGATGTTTCAAGGAAAGAGACTGACTGAGATCCGGCAGGGAGCCAGTTTGCTCAGGACGAAGTTAAGTCTGAGCCCTGCAGCACTCCCACATTAAAGGGTCTAGAAAATGAATAGGGACCAGCACAACACACTGAGAAGGTAAGCCTGTGAAACAGGACGAGAACCTATAAACACAAAGAATTCATTTAAATTGTTATTTTTTTCTTTGTACCCTGGTTCTTTCCTACAAAGACTTTGAGGCAGGAAACAATGAAAACAAATAATAAGCTAATAAATTTTAAATAGAAAAAGTCTGTGTCACAAAAAAGAAAGACTAGAAACATGTGAACCATGAGAAATAACAGTATGGTTTCCATAAACTTCGCATTTGGCTCTGAGTTTTTTTAGAACTCACAGCAAAAATGGGAACACAATTCATGTATGAGTTGGCTAGAGCTGCCTTAATAAAATACCACAATTTGAATGCCTTCAACAAGAGGAATAAGTTTTCTCACAGTTCTGGAGACTGGAAGTCCAAGATCAAGGTGTCAGCAGGTTTGATTTTTCCTGAGTCCTCCTGCTTTGGCTTGCAGAGTGCGGCCACCCTCTCTCCATGTCCTCAAATGCCTTCTCTGTGCCTGAGCAACCCTACTGCCTCTCCCTCTTCTTATAAGGACAGCACTCCCATTGGATTAGGGCCCTACACTTATGATCTCATGAACCCTTATTACCTTTTTTAAGATGCCACCTCCAAATACAGTCACATCAGAAGTTAGGAATAAAACACATGAATTTGGGGGTGGTGGGGGCAAGGGACTAGAGTTCAGTCTATACATATCAGTGACACTATTGACAAATTTTTTTTTAAATCCTCAAGTAGGACTGTATCCTATAAATGTTATATTTATCTTCTTTACATCAGTGTTATTACAGAATGTTTGGTCAGCCCTAATATTAATTTTTAATGATTTTGTTGAATGTGCGTGAGAGAAAATGTCCAGAAGGAATGTTCCTGAATTGAGCGGAAGAGCCGGGAACTTGGTATGCACCAATGTGCTGTCTTCAGAAGTGCAAATGTCCTCTCCAAGAAATAAAGGCTGCCGCTATTCTGCTTTGATTGCATCTTTAGGCTTTGATACTGAGAAGAGGGGTAATCAGGAAGGAAAAAATTCTACATAATCCTCCCTAAAAGCCAAGCCAGATGCTGGGCGGTAATGCTGCAAGCATCACTCTGAGAAACAAAAGTGGAAAATCAAAGATCCAGAAAAAATCTGTGGAGCAGGACCACTACCATTTAAGATATTATGGGGAGTCACAAGATGTATTAAGAAAATTACCTGCTGAAAACACGACTCTTTTATTCTTTAGGATATGTATAAATACATATTTTTATTTTAACCTGAAAAAAAAAAATGTGTAACGATGCTAGAAACTTGTGACTTCCCTGTGCTTTACCAGGGCATTTTTATTTCCATTTGTTTCCTTGCTCTGATAAGCAGTAAACCTTAAAAATGAAAAGGAGTTTGTCTGTTAATAATTTTCATTTGCATATTTATTGTTCTGATAAAGTACTTTAGTTAAAATTTTTAAAAGCCTTTAAATTTGTTTCAAGGGTCCAATCTACTTAACCAAGGAACACTTTTTTTAATGAATAAAAAATACCACTTTTGAAGATGGCACTCAGTAGTTGAAGTAGGCAGGGACTGACACAATGATGCAATGATTATACAGGATATACCAAAAGTTTCCTTCTTTGTCCTTTAAAGTCAGCTGATGCACCCATGGGACCATGCACTTCCTGCCCACTGGAACAAGCCCAGACCACTCTTTGATGTTCTTCCCCATTGCTTCTCAGATTTTCCTGCCCAAGTGTCCTTTATAATAGCAAAGGAGAAAGATGTGCATACCATCTGATGGCTTGAGCACACCTCAAAGCAGCCCGCACA